CTTTACTCTCCTTGCTTCGACATTCTCCTTCATCGAAGGGAACATCGATACATCTCCGAGATCATCAGCCCACTTGACGTACTTGCGGTCGTCAAGCACGACAAGTCCCTCTTCTATTGCCCGTTTAAGGTCCGGGCAATCCCTCTTGATATGATCTTCTCCTCTACAGTAGACGCATGAGTTCATGGGAGTAGATGGCCTGTCGTCTGCGCTTCTAGAGATCGAACTCCTGGCTGCCTTGGGGTCAGGTGACTTGAGATATGGTTCTGATGAGACACTATATCCCTCTCTCTCATTCCGACCGTGCGAATCGTTGCGGCGGTCTCCTCCAGACCCTCCTTGCTCATACCGCCCTCGCGAATCATTACGGCGGTCCCCCGAGTCATATCGCCCTCGTGACTCATCGCGTCGGTCCCCTCGGTTGTACCACCCACGCGACTCGTCGCGCTGCGCTCTCGCATCTCCCCCGCGCTCAAACCGTCCGCGCGACCCATCTCGTCGTTCCCAGTCCCGATCTCCTCTTTCATACCTACCACCTCTGTTGCCATCTCGACCCGACCTCTCGTATCTGTCGTCTCTATATCCGTCTCGGTCCGATCTCTCGTATCTGTCGTCCCTATATCCATCTCGGTCCGATCTCTCGTATCTGTCGTCCCTATATCCGTCTCGGTCCGATCTCTCGTATCTGTCATCCCTATATCCATCTCGGTCCGATCTCTCGTATCTGTCGTCCCTATATCCATCTCGGTCCAATCTCTCGTATCTGTTGTCCCTATATCCATCTCGTCGGCCCTGATCTGTCCCCCATCGGCCGCGGGAGTCGCCTCTACCCCGATCGGCCTCATAGCGAGGGCTTCGCGCGCAAACGGCTCGCGATCTCTGCGGTCTCGGTCTATCTCATCATCCCTACGTCGCCATGGCTCATCGTCTCTCTCTCTTCCCCTCGTACGATAATTTGTCAGCGTCCGAGGATTTCTATCCTCCACACTCCTCCAGGAATCGTTGTTCCTACGATCCCAGCGAAGTGAATAGGGCCCTCCAGGTTTGCCCCGGTAGGCCGTGGCCTCAGTAGTGGTCACAATCTCTGTAACCTGTTTCGTCAATCCCTTCACCATGTCCCGTATCTCCTTCACTTCCTCAGCCACGGCCTCATTCTTCTCCGACCAGGGATAGTCCTTGAAATCAGGACATCTATCCGTGACATACTCCTTGTAGAGAGAGAAGTCACGTCCCCTCATCCCTCTCCACACCAAGTCCTTGTAATCGTCTGTCTGTGCCTTTATCGCTAGCTTTAGGACTTCTGGGAAATCAAGCCTGTCGCGCGGAAGATCTCTAAGTATACTCTTTTGCTTACCTTTGGATAAGTGTCCGATGAAGATAGTACAACGCTCGACCTCTGAGTTCTTCCCCTTCTTCATCAGCACGTCGGAGATCTTCTGGACACGCATCCCAAATGCCCGTACGCTYTCATCTTCATCTTGAGTCATTGTTTCAAGGTCCTTGATGGAATACTTGTTGTCCTCCAATTTGTAAATCTCAACGAGGTTCTTCTTGTACGTAGTCCATTTCCCATCCTTCGGTCGAGCTTCCTTAACTTCCCTACCGAGACTTGGGTCCACATTAAATAGGAAGTTCTTTATAATCTCTTCCTCCGACCACTGACTCCGGCTGGCGTGAAGCTTCCACTTCTCCAGATATTTTGTGATACCATAGCCCCTGAAGGTAGGAGGCTCTGAGGTCTTGTGCGTAATAATATAGCGATCCTTGCCCTCGTAAGGGAGCGGAT